AACAGATTAGATATTGGCAGGGAAAGAAATAGCTGACTTTCAGAGGAGGTTTATCCAAGCACAGGTGACAGATGAGACATCTCACACCACGGCACTATCCAGGAATAATATGGGAAAGAATAATTTGGGCACAGGATGGATGAAATGAGGTCGGTGGCTATTACTGAGCACTAGCGCCAGCCCCCACTCCTAAGTGAGATGGACATCTGGTTGGGATAGTGAAGGTCCATCTGATCCAACTCTGGTCAGGCTAGATGAGACCCCTTCTAAACCTACTTCTCTAAGATTCATGAAACCCAACATACAGACCCATATGGCACTTCGAGATTAGGGAAGTTCAGATACTGGCCAATTTCTATTGTTAAGCTTACGAAACACTAAGATAAATAATGGAAAATGCTTCAGCTGCTATTTATTTAGGGCAGTTTTGCTATGTGACATCAGAAAATATTCCATGGTGGAATTTATTAACATAAAAATGAACTTGGTGAGACTTTGTGATCTATTAAATTTCCAGCTAACTAGACTTTTGTTTATCCAATCGACAGATGGTGTTCTTCTGAACCGGTTATGTTGATTCACAGCACTGAAGTGGTTACTGGAAAAAAAGGACCATGAGTTTAACGAGGAGCAGGCCCATACACACAAAACAAATGTGAGCCATATTCTACCAGCTCCAAAAGAAAAAAAGCAGCGGTTTTTAAACCAAATTACCAAAATATTGGCACATTTTGCATGTCCATCATGCATGCTCAAAGCCCCTGGAACAGGAATGTTGTTGGTAAATCAGCTACTTCAGACATATGCACCAAGTTATTGTATTTGCTTGGAATATTCTGCTCCAGGTTAGGAGAAAGACAGTCACGCACAGACTCCTCTTTCAGAAGCACTGCCTTGGAGGGCTGGCTTAGCTGTTTTACGGTAAAGACTCATCCCACTTACAAAGCCCCTCTCAGGCTTCTCATTAATAAATGCCAATGAACATAAAATGATACCAAGGTTGTAGAAACCAATGGCAATCTAGAAACCAGGAAAAGAAAACATAGTGAATGACAATAAAGAGTGGAACATATAAAGGACTCTTGAGCAGCTGAACTCCCAAACATTCTCTGAACACGAAAGAGGGTTGAACTGTTTATGAAATTAAGTGGAGCTTCTGGAACTGCACACTGAACTATGCTGAACAGGAAGAAATCTCTTTGCTTATTAGGCCTCAAGGAGATAATCTATTGTGCTAAAGAAACAGCTACAGCCTTTGCTATGCAGCAGGGAGATTACTCCTGTTCAGGTGGGCGAGTTGCTTTCAGACCTTTTTTTCACCATCTCTCTGATTTAATTTTAGGAATGGAACAGGAATGTTTTGATTAAGTTGCAGATAGAAGACCTCCAAATGACAGGATCCACCATACTTGTAGTAGAAGGACAGCACAGAAGGACAGGCTTCTGCCTCCATGGGCTCAAATCCCGAGTATCTTTGAGAGGATGGGAAAAGGAGCTGAAAAGCATATAATGGAGCATTAATAGCATTCACTTATCCTATCACTTTGTGTGTGCATGTATGCGTGTGTGTATATATATATGTATATATAAACACACTAATATATACAAACATACACACACATAGATACATACACCTTCCTAGGTGTGTGCATATGTAATATTATATACATCCACAAACGCAGACTAAACTTTATACAGAGGGAGAATGCATACCAGAGTCTGACACTGGGAAAGGTTTTCTTCAGCATATTTACACGCCTAGTCTCAGGCAGGATGTGGTCTGTCATTGCAGAGGCCACAGCACAAGGTGAGACTTTGCAAAATGTAATACAAGCTATTAATGCTGGTTGGTCTGCAAAATTCATACCTAGTTCTTAGAAGGGAGGATGTTAGGAGTGAGAGGGGATTTTCTTCAAGAACTAGATGGGTTGTTTCTGGAACGCTGAGACAAAAGACACTGAATTGGACACAGGAGGACAAACAGGCAAGGAAATACATGACTGACTACAGTGACTACATCGTATTGATTGCAATACACAGGAAGAAAGATGTGAAGCATTAAAACAGTTGTGATAATTCAGCAGTTTCAGTGTGACAGCCTTAAGTAGTAGAGGCTTGTTCCTCTGACAGCTGCATGTTTCAAATCATGAATTGCACGACTGAACAATGATGTTATATGTGAATACAACTGCTAACATCAAAATCAATCTTTTGCAGGAAAACCTGTATTTGCTAGACACATCACAGCACAGGTGTCATGGCAAATAACAAGTCATGGCATGATAGCTAGCAGTGCAACTACTTTAGGCTTATTACTTTTTGAGTCCAGGACAGCTACATGTAATGTCACCTGTGCATAAGAGAACAGAGAAATCTAATTAGGATCCTTAATTGGACCTGAGCAACCTGATCTAACATTGAAGTTAACGTTGCTCAGAGTGAGGGTGGTTGGACCACAGACCTCATGAAGTCCCTTACAACGTAAATTATTCTATGATCTGCAGCATACAAAAAGATTGAATCTCATCTGCCATCTCTGGCAGGAGCAGAAGACATCTTTGGCTTCATTCGTGGAAAAAAGAAAAGCTGGGTTCTGACTCTTCCAGTTTTGACATAGGACAGCTTTTGGGAGAATCAGTGGGTCAGCCAGAGCTCCTCATTACAGGAAAGGTGTAAGAAATGCAGAGACTGAAATCCACTGGGTGCTTTGAAATTCTTCAAAAGAAAGTACACCATAGCAGAGACAGAGAAATACTGATATGGCACAGGCCAACAATACAATATTTTTCCTGGGAGGAAGGCGAGAGGAGAAGAGACAAAAGGGTAGTGAGCCCTGTAAGGAGCATGTTCTGATAAAAATGTGTTACGCTTCCCTGCATACAAATACTGATCCCTCACAAGCTGTTTCCTCTCAGATCTAATAATCTTCTTTACCTGTTGGAAACACACTGTAATTACAAGTTCCAATGCCAGCTTCTCATTAACAAAGAAATCTGCCCTCTATTCCATGGGGTTTTGTTTTGCTTGATTAAAGATATTGTTAAAGCCTCCACAAATATTTTTCGTACCCACACGGACTCCTTATTGAATCTGGCTGTCTTCACTTCCTGTCTTAGTACAACTTACTTGCTAAGTTGTTGCCTCACCACACCCCTGAAGTGGTTGCCCTTAAGTGGTTGGTGAAATGATTAATATTTATTTAGTAAAGCTCTTTGAAGATGATACATGACATAAATATCAGCTAACACTATTATGCTTCCCAAAAACAGTATAGCTTTTGTAAGATTAAAAGCCTATTCCCCCATTAGATTTCTTGAAATTTGTTGAAACAAAATAACGTAACCTTCCCTTTGCAGTTTATCCCTCTTATCTCTTCACAGTTTTTAATAGTCAGTATTTCCCATCTGATTAATGCTAATCACATTGTTGTACTGCTTTTACAGCCTTGGGGTTTATTACAAAGCTTCTCTATTACTCCAGATAGGCACAAAACAGTAGCAGGTAGGGAGCAATATAAATTGCCAAAGATCAAAACCATTATTTAATGTTTTTGTAAATATTTACTTTAGAAGCAGACTAAACGTTACTTAAGATTCATTCTAAACTGCTGTGTTTAAAGGAAAAAAATCACGAGGACATATGGAACTCATCTGAAGGAGCAAAAAATGTTACAATTACACAAAAGAATTAATTTCCCTTGCTGTTACCAAAGAGTTGTCTTCATAAAAGCTTGTGGCATGCTTTTGTATCTTAGGTGGAACATTGTGATACATATCATGTGGTTTGTGGTCTCCTCTTCCTACCGCCTGAAGCTCTGGCTGCAGTTTCCCCAACCTGACTGTCCCACCAAATTGGTACACACCCGCATCACGCTCCCACTGGGATTTCTGTTCCTGTTCTGCCTTTTTTTTTTTTTCCCTTCTTCTTAGTCATCTTACCCACAAGCGGCATAAACGAAGGCGAGGCTGTGTTTTCACAGCTAGGCAGTTCTTGCAACATCAGGGCTGAGTTCAGGGAAATGGCTGGAAAACTTGCTATACCCACACACACACACCTGCCTTTTGGCTAATGGAAGCTGAGCACAGTGCCAAAGATGTTTGTTTATTCTTGCCCCGGGTGCTTTGATATGTATGCCATCGATGAGGGTAATCACCCTACCTCACAACACGGCACCCATGACTGAATAGGGCCTCACATCGCCTTATAGACCTCCCAGGCATCTTCTCTAGCACATGATGTATTGGGTCATGTCACTGGAGATGTCCCTACCAGCCTTCTGATGAGGGCCCTCTGTTCTTTCACTACTTTGGAAGAGATCTGGGAAGGAGGTGGAAAGAGGGGAGACCAAGTCAAAGCCACCCAGTCAGGCAAGCGCAGCCATGTCACTTTGGAAGTGGCACCTGCTGCGATGAGGGTAATCACCCTACCTCACAACACGGCACCCATGACTGAATAGGGCCTCACATCGCCTTATAGACCTCCCAGGCATCTTCTCTAGCACATGATGTATTGGGTCATGTCACTGGAGATGTCCCTACCAGCCTTCTGATGAGGGCCCTCTGTTCTTTCACTACTTTGGAAGAGATCTGGGAAGGAGGTGGAAAGAGGGGAGACCAAGTCAAAGCCACCCAGTCAGGCAAGCGCAGCCATGTCACTTTGGAAGTGGCACCTGCTGAACACAAGGACGCAGTTTGGTCCAGCTGTGAACAAATGCAGTAGTCCCCCATGCTACAGTGTCACGACAGCATCAAGCCGGTAGCTTTTAACTGATTTGTGGCAGCTTAGGGAAAAACAACAGGATGTTGTGTTGTGACTGGTATTAGCCCTTGTGGTATCACATCTGCTGGGACACGGGCTGCACAACCCTTCCTGCTCCAGACTTCATTTCAGGTGAGGGCTCAGCCACCTACAGTGACTCTCCAGCACCCTGCACGCTTGTGGGTGGGCTGGGAGTGCTGAGGCATGTTTGGGAGAAAGGTGGGGCTGCTCAAGAGACCGAGATGGCGTGGGCATATGCAGCCAGGCCCTTCCCTCCCCGTCCTTGTGGGGCTGTGTTGTCACACCGGCAATGCGAGGGCGGCAAGTTGAGAGGCCTCGGTGTCGCGTCCCCCAAGGGCAGGCGGGGCGGGGAGGGCACATGAGAGCTCACTGCCTACAAAGCAGCGCACACCTACCTGCTGCCACACCACATCCCAACAGCACGGGGCCACGGGTGACTCCAGGCCACCGGCTCCCAGTGTGGCCATGACTCGGTTGTCTCACTGGACCATTCTGTGCCGCAGTGACAAGACACTTTGTGGGCTAAAAAACCTTCTGACTCTTTCTGTCCCTCTGTGTCTTTCCCTTATCTGAACCGTATCCCTCAGGGTAGAACCAGAAAGTTAAATATTTCTTTGCAGGAACTAGAAACGCCGGGTGGAAAACCAATTCCCTGCTCCTTTGTATGATTTTTACCTGGCTGGAAGATCTGGGAGGAGAGGAGAGAAAAGATGATGAGAGTCCTCACTTAGAAAGGAGCTGCTGGTCCGGACGCCGCGGTGAGAACACTCTCCTGCCTCTGGAGGCCCGGAGCAGAGCCCACAGGACACGCACACGGTGGTTTGAAAGGCCCTTTAGCAGCCTGCATAGCTGCATTTGTTCACCAGTCACCACAGCAAGTGGTATCCCTCTCAGTCTTCACGGGGCAGTCAGGAAACCACGTTTATAACCAGCTAGGCCTGAGTCTGCCTCTGTCCTTGGCAAAACCCCTGCGGGCTCCACTCTGAGTTTTGCCAGAGCAAGGACCCCGCCTCATACTGGTGATTAATGTATTTCATCAAGCAAACTTTGGTAGTTTTGATTCTTCCTCAATACAGCGAGGAACTTTCTAATTTTGGAAAGGGTTCGCAGTCGTGGAGGTGGTGGAAAAGTTGGGATCCAGATGGACTCTGCTGTGTACACTGCATACAGCAGGCTGGACGCCCAGGACCACCAACGCAGCAGGGCTGGGCGGTGTCCCGCAGGGAGAAGGGGCTATGTCCGGCACCCCGACCTCCATCCCTGCCCCAAATGGATCCAGAGGCAGGAGTTCCTGCAGGCGGCGGCAACAGGCGTTGTCAGCCTGTCCTCTCCTCTGAAACCACACAGCTTTAACAGAGGTAGGCACTCGGGAGGAGGCTTGTGTTGCAGCTTCTGGACTCGAGCGCCTGCTGCAACAACCTCCAAAGAAAGCTCCAGTCCCTCAGGGATCCTGGATGTGCTCCTGTCACCAAGAACCAGCTCAGGTCTTGTTGGAGGAAGGTGCTTCGTCCTGAGGCTTTTCAGTCCGAGTGGAAGCTGGATATCTAACTGTGAGAGCAGGACAGATGCACGTTGTGAAAACCCACAGAGAGGTCTCCTTCCATCCTCCTGTGAGGCTGAGGAGGCAGGGGACGCCCCTGAGGCAGCCATCCTGTCGAGGATAGCTGAGGCGCAGGGTAGGGTGCCACCAGCGTCCTGCAGGGCCCACGTCCTTGACCTGCCCTCCACCCCGGCGCTCAGCGAGGCCTGGCTGCCCCCGGCTTCGGAGGGGCCAGAGGAAGGCGGCGCCTGTGGGGACATGTCGCCTCACGCCTGGGAGCCGAGCGGGGTGAGAGCAAGTCGGCGAAGGGCTGGGGGGGGGCGCCTCAGGGCATCCCCTCAGGAGCCGGCTGCTCTCAGTTCCTTCCCGGGACAAGCCTTGTCGGTGTGATTTTGTCACACTTTTTGAGTGCGGGAATGTGGAAACTTTTCCATTTTCTGTTTTTAGTGTTGAAAGCGAGGGAAGCGCCGCGCAGGTGCCGCCGCGGCTGAGGGGCGGCGGGCGAGGCGGCGGCAGGCGAGGCGGGAACGCCGCCGCCCTCCAG